TGTTCTCTGTTTTGTAGCATCCCGTCTGTATGGCATGGTTGTGACCACAGATGCCTCTGCCTCAGAGCTGTTCTCACAGAATCACAGACTCACATGGGGTTGGAAGGGACCTCTGGAGACCATCCAGTCCAACCCCCTGCCAGAGCAGGGCCACCCAGAGCAGGTCCCACAGGAAAATGTCCGGGGGGTTTGAATGTCTCCAGAGAAGGAGACTCCACCACCTCTCTGGGCAGCCTCTGCCAGGGCTCTGCCACCCTCACAGCAAAGAAGTTCCTCCTCATGTTTAGATGGAACTTCTTATGTTCAATTTTGTGCCCATTCCCTCTTGTCCTGTCCCTGGGCACCACTGAAAAAAGCCTGGCCCCATCCTCCTGACACCCACCCTTTCAGTATTTATAGGTGTTGATCAGATCCTCCCTCAGTCTTCTCTTCTCCAGACTAAAAAGACCCAAGTCCCTCAGCCTCTCCTCATCAGAGAGATGCTCCAGGCCCCTCATCATCTCTGTACCCTCTGCTGTCCCCTCTCCAGCAGTTCCCTGTCCTTCTGGAACTGGGGAGCCCAGAACTGGTCCCAGTGCTCCAGATGGTGCTTCACCACTGCAGAGCAGAGGGGTCACTCTCTGCTGGTCACACTCTTCCTGATGCCCCCCAGGATGCCATTGGCCTTCTTGGCCACAGGGGCACATTGGACACACATCGCCCGTATCTATTCCTGTGGAATTATGCTGAGATTTGTACAAATATTTCTGTTTGTTCTTTTAAAGCGATGGGCAAAGGAGAGGAAGGCACAGGCTCCCTCTTCTTCAGGAACATCACACTTCTGCCTTGGAAACAGTGGCTGTGTTTGTGGGGACGCTCTTCACCATCGCAGTCGTGAGGCACGGAAGGAGCTGCTCGTTCCAAAACAAATAAAAAAGAACAACAGAATAAAAAAACAACCCACCTCCTGCATCTACACTCACACTTGGCTCCGAGTTTCTGGAGCTGAGACACACCCGGCATCAAACTACAGGAAAGATCCGCAAACTCAGTATTTTGTGGGTTGATAGGGAATTGAGGTGTTTCCACAATAGCTGGTGTTTTTCTACACGCAAAATTAATTATAAAAAATAGGGTGCATTTTGTAAAACAGAAAACAACAAGGGTGTTTTGAGGGTTGCTAAAGCAGCAGCTGAGTTTAGAACACACCTTTGCCACAAAGCCCCAGTCTCAGAGTAAAACCTGCAGAAACATTCAGACACTGTTAAACAAACTTACCAATTTTTAGGGCAGGAATAAAGTCAGCTTCGCCTCCAAGAGCAGGAGGGTGGTTATGAGTGAAGGCACCACGTGTGCAGAGCAAGGGAGGGAGGGCAGGGGAGAGGGGGGGTCACATCCTGGGACAG